CAACACTTACTTTGGTTTGTGCTCATTGCAACCACCTCTGATTTACAGACTGCATATTCTCTTATTAGGATACCCTTGTTTACATAACTTTAAAACGGTGGTGGTGGTCTCCCTGTTTGTCCAGCTCAATGAGCCTTGGTTGTGACAAAGTAAAAGCTTCCAGTCGGTTTTTCTTCGTTTCTCTACATTCTTACATTTCACTTCAACCCGATTAGTCATCGGAGAAGCATTTCGATACATTCCATGACTGAATTGCGCCGACACATTTCACATTTCAACAGTTTTTTTCTGTTTACTTCAGGTTACATTTCTAACCTCACAGGTCTGTAAATCTCTACTCGGCTGTTTTAAAAGCGCACGAGAGGTTCCTCTGTCGTCAAGAAAAACACATCCTAAACAGTGTATCGGGCGTCTGCTACATTTTGTTCTGCCAGATAATATCAACTAAAAACAACTTGGATGACTTCCAGGTCGAGCGCTGCCTGGCAGTGTCTACGTTTTCAACATGATCCCCTCTCCGCTGGCTCGTTCCTTATAAACCCAGTTTTCTCTTTGAATCCTGCTGTGATTTGATTTAGATCTGGCTATCCTGCAGCCCACGTTCAGGCGGATGAACTTAATATGCCTCTGTGGGCGGGAGTGTGTTCCCACCTGAGTCCTCTGCTCTCCTCTGGTGAACTGAGGCTGCAGAAATCATACACAAACAGGTACAAACAGCTATCATTTTGACCACAGATGATCACAGCTGAACCTATCAGCTATCACCGGGATAGTTTCTGTGTTTTTTTTACTTGCTTCTCAAGTGCTGCACTGCTTACTGTCCAAGAGGTACACTTCACCTCTCCATAAAGCCAGGACAAAACAAAACACAGTAAAACAAAGGAAAAAACAAACAAAAGAAACAAAACAAAAACAATCAAAAAATAAAAATGGGTGGAGGTAAAACTAAGATTTAAGATTTACTTTATTGATCCCCACAAGGGGAAATTTCAGTTTTTACACTCTGTAAGTCATGAACACACACATAGGCTGAAATACACACATGCAGAAACAGGATCATATGGACATGCACTAATGGAGAGAAGCCAGAGTGACGGAACGGCCAACAGCGGGCGCTCCTGAGCTGATGGTGGGGAGGGGGTTTGGTGCCTTGCTCAAGGGCACCTCGGCAGTGCTCAGGAGATGATCTGGCACCTCTCCAGCTACCAGACCAACTTCCATATTCGGTCCGCACCGGGACTTAAAGCGGCGACCCTCCGGTTCCCAACCCGAGTCCCTACAGACTGAGCTACTGCCGCCCTCCCTACAACTAAGAGTTGTATCAAAATAAGCGGTGGAAAAAGAAAAAGAGAATCACTTGTTTGCAACTTGAAGTCTCCCGCAGGAAGCCGCAGCTCAAACAGGACATAGCTATAATAGCGAGAGCTCTTTTACTTAGCACCCTTGTCGGGGAATACCTATCGTCCAATCAGAACACTTGGTCCAAATTTATCGTTGTAGGTTTCAGGCAGTTGTTTTTTTTTCTGATGGCACATTTATGTGTCCACTTCTTTCTATCTTAACACAGAATATAAACGAGCCTCCTTCTTAAATACCGACATGTTTCCATTCCAAACTCGTCATCATAACACCATAAATCTCTATGAACACACATGAGTAGGCTGGTGGAGTTCGTCCACTCACATCCCGTCCCTCCTGTTGTCCTCTGTGTGTGTGTGTGTGTGTGTGTGTGTGTGTGTGTGTGTGTGTGTGTGTGTGTGTGTGTTCATTGGAGCCTGCACAACCAGCTACACATCTGCAATCAACCCACCTACAATCTCTGCAAGATAAAAGTCTTGACTCAGTGTTCCACTCCTCTCCAGGTTGATCGTTTACCCAGCGTGGTATTCATCTCAGGCTCACCTTGTTTTGTCACATTACACCCCCCCCCCCCCGTCTTTCCCCTGTCTCCAGATCTCCATGCCCATCTGCCCTCCATAAATCCGCCCCCCCCCCCCAGCTCCAAGACCCCGAACCTCCGTAACTCAACCAGCCTCTGATTCCAAAGATTAAGGAAACGCAGAAACTACCACCCCGCTCACACATGTCAGATCGTCCTGCTTCAGACCAGCCAGTAACCCATGGCAACGTCAGACTTTGTACGATAAACACAGCTCCTGCCATGATCTGGAACTCAGTTTGGATCTGTATTGTGGGTCCACCTGCCTGTTTTGAATCAATGACAAGGGTAAAGAAAAGGAAGTGTCAGAAGTCACTATTTGTTTTAGCTAAGATCCCTGAAAAATCATCGATGTCTTCCTGAGTGTTTTCACTGAACGAAGACAACAAATGTTTTCAGAAAATGCCATTTTTGACTAGTTAGGAGAAAAAATGTATAGTCCTTACCTACAGCCAATGTAAGTGTGTAAGCCAGGGGCTCCCAAACTTTTCAGGTCGTGACCCCCAAAATAAGGGTGACAGAAACTTGGGACCCCCCACTGTTCTTTAAGGTGGTTAGTTATATATAAGGTGGTATATAACGTAGAGACAGCCACGCACACACTAATAAACCTATCCAAAAATTAGTAACACAAAATAATACAACAGCCTAAAAACAATAAAAAATGTACACATGTTCACTAAATGATACTGCCTTATATGACGTTGGACTACTTTTTGTATATTTACTAAAATGGGTAAAAATATATACTTATGCACTTTTAAATGATTTTTTTTATTTTTTATGGAAGGCATCTCGCGACCCCCCTCTTGGTGGCTGGCGACCCCCCTGGGGGTCCCGACCCCCATTTTGGGAACCACAGGTGTAAGTAGTTTTTAAGCGAAGTCTTAGGGCTCAAATATTCTTGCACTTGAACCCCGCGTTTGTATAGACAACCTGCTGTGTAGTGAGCATAAATGTTCACATGCTCGCCTCTGTACAAGGCGTGTTACCGGAAGATTCCCCTAGAGGGAGCACCACATAAATCAGACGGCTTAAAACACCGAAGTAGACATGACCTGTCGCCAGCTATGCAGCGGCAATGACACATCATAGTGTCTTCTAAACTTTCTGCAAATTGTTGTAGCGGCTCTCTCTCTGGTGTCTCTCATGTTGGCATTTCCTGTTTTATCACCATCCAACTCTACACTGCTCCTAGTGGTTATATATGCAGATTACATCTTGTGGACGCGTATAGCATTAATTTCTGAGGACGTGCACAACCTCCGCTCCAAACCACTGCAGGATGTCATGTGTTCGGCCCAATTTGCCCTCATATCTCTTCAGACTTTCATTGACAACCCTTTTTGTTTTCACAGGAATATTGCATGCAACATTTACACCAAACTAAAAAGACTTATTTTGTTATTTGTTGTTATTATAAAAATGTATTTAAATTTTCAGCTGAAAAACAGCAGTATGTTGGGGTTTATCAGTTCCCTCTGAAGCGCCCTCGAGCAAAGAGAGCGACTTAATCCCGAGCAGAAGATAAATGTTCAGGATGGATGAGGGACAGCTGGAGACTTGGCTTTTGTAGCCTTACTAGAGGAGACAGCGTTTCTTCATATGTTATGCACCACATTAGTTTGGCTGATTTGAACGTTTTTGACAGCCGCGGTCTGCTCTCAGTCAGAGGAGGCTCATGGGAAAAAGAGAGTGTTTATCCTGTGAGGCTGGATCAACACAGAAGAAGACAGATCATGTGTGACGGAGTGACAGAAAGAAGTGAGATATCAGCTGGAGGAGAGCTGGAGACGACCGACTGTGAGACTCTTTTTCTGACAGATGACATCAATGAAGGAGAAAGAAGAAATGCATTGACGCGACTTCAGATGCCCTGAGACGATATTATATATATTATTTTCTCTATGAACATGCTGGAAATGATGGAAAATTGTGTTCAGAAACCAAAAAGTGAGACACAGTAAACTTGCTGTAGGCGACAACCAGTCGAAACCAGAGAGCAAAAAGAAGCAAATTCTCAAATTTAGGGAGCAGAAAAAAGTGACATATTTGATATAAATGTCTTAAAAGCACTCATTGAATGTAGAAAAACAGCTGCAGAATGAATGAATTTCTAATTTAGTCTTAATTAATCTTTGTTCTTTCCATTTTCAGCGGTATTTTTGATGCAGATAATCACATATTTCGTGACTGATTACACACAACATGCTCAAATATTCACAAATATTCAATGGCTGTGGTTGCTGCGATGTGAATATCTGCTGGTTTTGTTTCCCCATGTGACAAAAATATTAATTTTTCCACTTTGCAATTTGAACAAAAACCATATTTAATCTGCTACTGATGGTTATTTTCATTATTTGGTCCATATATTGTGAGGAAGAAGTAAAAAAAAATTGTAGAAATTGGCAAGTCTTTGTTCTAAAACATCTTTGGTTGCGCTAAATGGTTATTTTTATCACAAAAAAAAAAGTTAGTGAGTGTTTAAAAGCCCAAGCCGACATCTTCATCATCATCGAGATCATTCAGTTTACTGTCATAAGAGGAAAGAATCGAGGAATAGAATCGGCATTCACACACTGATGGTAGATGTTGAGACCTTCAGAAGTAACTAATCCCATTCATTCGCATTCATACACACGCCGATGAAGCAGCAGGAGCAATTCGGGGTTAAGCGACTTGCCCAAGGACACATCGGACATGTTGCTGCAGGAGCTGGGGATCAAACCCTCGAACTTCCGGTTGAGAGACGACCGAGCCGCCTCTAAGCATCGGTTATCGCAACCTCTGGACATTTAATCAACAACTAAATTAAAACATAAACAGATAATTAACCAAAATAAACATGAAAAAATGAAGCCTACTACCTTTTATTCTAATATTTTGAAATTAGGCAAATAGGATGTGTTACTCCTTTACATATTTAAATATCTTTACTTATCCATCCTTGAAAATCTGCTTTTATTTCTTGTTAATATAATTAACATTAATTATTATTTAATTTTTTTTAAATGTATGCTGTAAGAAAATAAGAGTAGGTATTGAGTTGTGGACTCACCATGAGCGGACAGGTGGAGAAACACAGCGTGACAAGGAGCAAACTTTTCATCTTTAAATTCTCCTCCGGTGGAAGAAAAACAGAAAGACTTCATTTAAATTCCACTTCAGACGTTTTCATCCCGTTTTTTTTTTTTTTTTAACTTCCATGAAAGTGGGGTTTAAAAAAAAAAAATCAAAAATCAAAAAGCGTTGAAATGAAATATTTAAAGCCAGAGCCGGTGAGGTGGTGTATCCACAGCAGTGTCTAAACACAGAGCTGGATGTGCAGAGGAGATGTCAGCCCCTCCGCAGCTTTGTGTGCAACCGTCAAGTTTACTGTGAAACACTCAGCCACTTCCGGTAGGGATTTTCAAAATAATGGAACAAAGGGAATTCCAGAAATTTGGCATGAATGTACAAAGAAAGGAATGTAGCCTAATTTAAAATGTACTATCTTGTTTTTAGCAAATGATGGCTCCTATTGGCCGATGATGTCCATCGCCTCCAGTTCAGGGTTCATCCCTGTTCTTTAATGACCACTGGAGCACAGACGGCTGCGATCCAGACCACTTCAGTCTGGACAATCAGGTCCAAACAGAGGGCCTGTGTGAAACATTCTGTACTACAATAGAAGGAGACTGGGCAGGAAAACAGGGGGAGGAGTCACATGGGTTTGTTTAGTGACTCAAACTCTGACATCCAAACACTCAGCGAGCTGGACCTGGGGATTTCCAGGACCTGAACTTTGAAACACACTGTTGAATCAGTCTCGCTTTTTAGGTATGAAATAGGCAAAATCGTGCAAATTTCATGGACAGTCACAGCTTTTGTGCACATCCCTTTAACACCAAAGGTAGTAAGATTCTTAAACTTAACCAGATCGAGATCACCTTCTGAAGGTCTCGGTCTCGTCTCAGAATCAAAAGCATTTTTATCGGTCTTGTCTCGGTCTCAGGCTGGGCGGACTCCGGATTATAAATCAAGACTCACCACTGAAAAGTTATTTTTACACATCATCACTGTGATTAGAAGGAAAATGCTCCTTTTTAAAATCAACAAATAATTTTAATTAATTCATGATTTGATTTTTTATCCCTCTTGGTCTTGGTCTTGGTCTTGGTCTTGACTCGGTCTCGATCCCTAAATGTCTTGGTCTTGGTCTGGGAGCACTCTGGTTTCCTTTAGTCGGGTCTTGACTACAACACTACTAGTATCCCGGTTTCTGATTCCTGCACCTGAAATCACGGCACAAATTTGATCGCCCACTCAGACACAGAGACCATCATGACAGACAAAAGGATCTTCCTGACCTCAGCAGCTGCAGTGTTTATTTAATATATTGTACATAGGAGGAGGAGGAGGTCGTATGGGATAAACTGTCTCGCTCTCTCTAAACGGAGAAGCAGAACAGAAAGACACATCATGAAAAACACTCCACTCCAGTATGAACGTACTCCTCTCACATGTTTGTGTCTCGTACAGTAAACTTAGGGAGGCCGAGCGAGGGTGAAGTGGCACCTTATTTACACAGAGCCAGAGAACGTCGGCCGCCCTCTGCTGTGAGCTCCAGTGTCAACAGTGTGCACGCAGACTACTCAAAGCAGTCGCTCTGTGTTCAGCTGCTTCCCATGCTTTATGGTTTGTGTATAAACCTGAATTTAAACAGTTCGGTTGGTGAGCGCATACTGTTTAACAGAGTGTACCCATCCTGAGCCGTGTGAGGGGAAGAGAGTGTTATCCAATATCTTTTAATTCTCTGATTGAATTCTGCTTTTTTTATTTTTGTTACTTGTGATTTTATAATTTTTATGTTTCCCGTGGCGCTGCTCTGCCAGCGACCCGGACTCAAGTGGGGCTTTTTCAGCCGGCTGAACGTTTGCAGCACTTTGAGTCCAAGACAAATTTCCCCCAATGGTGTCAATAAAGTGTATCAATGGTATCATATCTAATCCTTTCCTATCCTATGTCAAGTTATGGTGTTTTCACATACTTTCACATATATTTTGCACTTTAACATGTATATCTTTGATTGCACAGCCACAAATTTGCACAGCTCTGGACAACCCCCTATATTGTTATTGCACAGTTACCACTGTCATAACTGTTTTTGCAAACTTACATCTCTTACCTCCAGCAAGTATTTTTACATTCAGTTGACAAGCCTGAATAAATGTTGTATTTCATTTTTTTTAAACCAGTAAGAATGTTAAGTTAAATCCTTGATGTATAAATCTCATCCTATTCTTATTTTTTATACTCTAAGTGCTTATTTATGAATCTATTCTTATATTGTTTTATTTGCTTTGATAACCTGCTGCTGTAACACCACAATTTCCCAGTTTGGGATCAATAAAGTCATTCTATATGAAAATGTCCCTACATTTTGGGAGCAAGCTGCATTAGTGAATGCAAATGGAATAAATTTTCACCCCAACTTTATCTTCTTTTTTCCCTACAAGCCCCCTATAAAGTAAACATTTCCATGTGAAATCGGGTCGAGCTGATAAGTAAACACAGCAGGAAATATTCTGTAAGCTTTAGCATTAGCCCCGTCTCTTCTTCTGCCATTTCTGCGTTGTCTTTTTGACGTCATGCGTTGCCCCCCTGAGACCCCCTCTCTCCCGGTCGCTTACAAAAAAGCGTCACAAACAACTTCTTACCTAAACTCTCTGATCCAGGTCTACACTCCCCCCCACTACGCTCTGCCAATGAAAGGCGTCTGATCCAACCTTCACAGCAGGGTCCTAAGACGCTGACTAGACTCTTCTCCTCTGTCGCCCCCCGGTGGTGGAATGAACTAACAAACTCCTTCAATCTGCAGTGTCCATTTGCACCTTTAAGAAAAAGCTAAAGACCCAGCTCTTTATGAACACCTACCACCTTATTGATGATGATGATATTTAGGATGGTTTTTGTAACAACACCACAGGTAACTGAACCCAAAAGCACGACTCACAACGCAGTCTTTGATTGGGGGGGGAAACAGTCTTTACTCTTTAAGCAAACACGATCCAAAAAAGTGATCAAAGAGGAAACAAAAGGCTTGAACGCTTCTCACAGGGGTCAAAGACGAACTGGCACAGAAGGAAGGGAAGCTACAGACTAAATAGTAGGGTGAGGGGGAAGACAACGAGATGCAGCTGGGAACAATCAGGGCGGGGCAGACAATCACACAGGTGGGAAACACGAGGGCAGGAAGTGAAGGATCTGAAACAAGAGGAGAAGTTAGTGACCCAAAACAGAAATAATACAAGATAGAAAGTAAAAACAACCTAAGACACTGAGCTGGACATGACAGTTTTGATGCTGATTAGAACTCTAAAGATCAGCTGTTGACCACTATCTGCCTGTGGGGGAAAAGACAGATGATTAAAAAAAAACAACTTTAACTTACACATTTTTCCACTGATTTATGAGGACAAGAAGCTACATAAAGAATAAAGACAAACAATGTAATACAACAATATGCCTAATTGTAGGACTTGTATTTCAGACATGATCATAGGGAAACCTAACTCTCTTAGTAACACCTGCACACCCACAGAGATTACTCCCTGCTCACTCTTTATGTGCCGTCACGACTATGATGGAAGTCAGACATATGGCTCTTCACAATTTATCAGAATTTTCAAGACCTCCATCATACGAAAAAAAGACTGTCCTTACCATTACTCACCTTTTATCCTTTCATGAAAGTCTGTCACTCCACAAATTGAGTTTTATCTCAAGCCTTCACATCCCTCTTCTGAACGGGGGTCAGTTTTTGAATGTTCCTCGGGGATCTGAGTTATCGACGTAGAAGTGCAAGACATTTCTTTCTCTCCCCGACATTGTCACAGGTAGATGATCTGAAATGGAAACTCCATTTCATGCTTGTGTGACGCATTTTGTTGAGTTCTTTCTTGCCGTCGTTATAGAACACTTTTAACAAAAACAAGACGTGTCAGAGTGACTTTTAGACCTGTGTCGCCATTGAAAAGCTTAATCAGCTAGCCTAACTTCGCTGTTTATTGATTTGTATTTGTCATGTGTGCGTCTGACAGGAGCCTCTCTGTGTGGAGTGTGCATGTTCTCTTCATGCATACATGGGTTCTCTCCGGGTACTTCGGCTTCCTCCCGCAGTCCAAAGACGTGCTCGTTAGGTTAACTGGAGACTCTAAATTGTCCGTAGGTGTGAATGTGAGTGTGGCTGGTCTGTCTCTATATGTCAGCCCTGTGATTGGCTGGTGAACAGTCCAGGTTGTAACCCCGCCTCTCGCCTCACGCCCCCTGTGACCCCGAACATAAAAAGCGGTATAGATAATGGATGGATGGATGTGTATGTGGATTAGAATTTTAGATCATGTACCTTGATTATTTATTGTTTATTTATTCTTCTCTCATTCATTATTCTGGTTATTTTTCCACCTGCACAGCTCTTTATTTGACTTAAAGCTCACATATGATGCAAAATACACTTTTAAAAAAAAGATCTTTCAGTAGGTTTTTTCCTTCACTCTAATGTGTTACATCTGTGTTGTAATGTGTGTGTCATAGTGGATGTCACCATCTCACTGGCTGCAAAACAAATCTACCTATTAAGTTCAACGTCCTTCTCCTTATTCTTCACACTCCTTCCTCGCTGTCTGCGCTCCTCTGAAGCCAGCCTCCTCTCTCCATCAATCAGGACCAAGCAGAGAACCTGTGGGGTGACAGAGCCTTTTCCATAGCTGCCCCCTCTGTCTGGAATATCTACCCCCAAACACATCCAGGACTGTACCGACCTGCCACACCTCAAATCCCTGATCAAAACCTTTTCAGACTTCCTCTTCTTGCTAATCTTGTGTTTTGTGACATTAGTTAATTATTTAGTTTCCTACTTCTTCTTTTTTCTGAATGTAACTCTGTCAAGAGTCTTTGAGTCTTTTGAAAAGCGCTATATAAATAAATGTATTAATTTTATTATTATTATTATTGTTATTATAAATAAATTAACCTGAATTTGAAGTTTGAGGTTTGCTGTTATTTTATCATTTTCACACTTTTGGAAATATAAATAAATTCTGTCTGTTTTGTATTGTTTGTATTCACCTCACAGAAATAAACATGCTCTCAGCTGAAAACTAATTTATATAATTTGGTTAATAAAGACGTTACTTGGGGTCGTGGTAGCCTAGAGGTTAGCACGTGTGCCCCATGTACGGAGGCTATAGACCTCCAAGAGGGGACACAGGCCACATTCATTTCCCGCATGTCATTCCCTGCTCTCTCTCTCTCTCTCTCTCTCTGATTTCTGACTCTACCCTCTGTCTTTTCACTCTAATAACACAGGCATAAAAAGCTCAAAAATCATCATTAAAAAAAGATGATGTTGCGGTTGTTCTGCACGATTTATGAATCAAATGATTTGAGCAGAAGATTTGTTTCAAACTGTCCTTTGAGCAGAGTTTCTTTTTGGAGACTAAAATGACACATGAACTTTTATCCTGAAAGCAATTCCGACAGAGTTGTGTTTTCTACAGGAGTGATCTATGAGATCCTTTAACAACAGAGATCACTGCATGCCTCCCGGTTCTTTCTTTGTGGATTCAGTTTCCAAACACCACACTGCCATCTAGTGGTGAAGTGTCCTCAATGTGCAGACTCCTGCAGAAGCCCGTTCAGAATCAACAGTCTGATCGAAATCTACCTCCAAATCAACTTCACTCGTCCTCCATCGTGATGCTCTGATGATGGTCTTAATTACATTTCTTAAGACACCTCAGCGGCTTCTAAACGACGTCATCAGCAGATTAGCGTGCTCACATTACAGGCAACAAATAGGATTATCAGGTCAAAGGTCAGCGTGCCATGTTGTAATGGATCTGTCGAAACTGAAGAAGAATGCATGGTGGTGAGTGTGTGGCTGTAATATTGTTATTATTACTGCATCAGAACAATAAATAACAACAGGATTATGTACAGAAAATCTGATAAATAAAGTAAATTAGGCAACATGAGATAACATGAGATTATTGTATTGCACATGATTTATCTCAAAAGCTAGACACATATATATATATTGTTATTTAACAGATGTATGCAGTTTTCAGATTCAGACAACTTTATTTATCCCCAGAAGGGAAATTCAGTTTCAGAGTCTACCGAGCTGTTGAAGGAAGCAAAGACAACAGTAAAGGAAACAAACACATCAAAGCAGCATTCAGTTACATTCACATGTCAGTAAAAACAAATCAACAGACCAAATGAGAAGCCAGCGCTATCAATCTAGAATTTCATAAATACAACATTTTCATAAATAGATGAATGGACCTCACAGGTGACCTCACTGTGAAGTAACAGTCCATACAGTAAGTCAATTAGAATTGTTCAGCATTTAACAGCCTGACAGCTGAAGAGATAAGAGTTGGAGTATCTGTTGATGGTTCTCCTTGGAGGGGCGAGATAGCGCCAACCAGAGGGCATAAAAGAAAAGACAGATGAGAAAACGTGTCCCGGTTCATTTGTGATTCAGGTTGGATTAGGGTCTGTTTTCATTATCGGGCTTTTTTTGAGACACCAAAGGATGTCAACACAGCGTTTGATAAACAGCACCCTGACGACGTAAACTCAACCGTTTCAGATCTTACTTCATGCCTGACTCAATGAATTTAATTAATGTGTTTACTAAATCCTCTTAAGGCTGCAGGAGTTGTGCAACCGCTCCATGATGATCTGTGAAGAATTGTTGTGTAAGATTTGAAACATGCATGACTTGCAGGCCCATCTGTGGTTGTGTAGCCTGAATGCCAGTTTGTTTTTTTAGTTAGTTTTTACTATCAATCCTTTGGAGGTGTGTGGGCAGCACTCGAGTCCAAGACAGATATACCCAGCCAGCCTATCAAATGATAATGTGTTGTGATTACTGGCATTGTAGCTATAAATCTAATCTATCTTAATCATTGTTGTTGTTGTTGTTGCTCTGTTTCTCGTTTTCCCTCCCTCTCTTTCTGCATAAACCCTCCATAAACCCCAACACAGTTTCCGCAGCCAGAGTCTGGTTCTCTTTGTCTTTCAACTTTCAGCTTTATTGATTTCCCCGAGGGGAAATTTGTTTCGCAGCCAGGTGAGAACAATATGAAAACAACAAACCATATAGAACACAGGCACATAGACTCAGACAATAAAAACAACAAACACAGTGAACGACATTAAAGAGTTCATCAGGTAACAACAGGAAACTGAGAATGTCTAAACACGTCCATAAAACCATCATCAATTGTCTCGTGTTTCACTCACTACACCCTGAAGAAAGGGCAAGCCGATACGCGTTGGTTTATTTTTAAATGTTTCTAGCCCCATTGATTATTTTTCAAAACATCCTGAGTGCCTCGACCTGGAACATTTATGTCTTTTGGTCTTAAGTTTTCCTCCACTTCTTTTTTTAGTCTGGTTCTGTTCGAGGGTTTCTGCCTGTTCAGAGACAGATTTCCCTCTCCTCTGTAACTTTGTTAAATGTTTCTAAGTGCTGTACTCATGGTTAATGTTGGGTCTTTGCCTGCTAGCATATGGTCTAGAAACCAGTGCTTCTCAACTGGTCTCGCCTCAGGACCGCACCACCAACTCCTTATGAAGAAATCGCGACCCAAGTTTCAGATATCTCTCAATCAGTGAGATTTGCTTTATGAAACATTATGCAATTTGGACCTCAGACGGAACAAAACATGTGACAGAACAACGACATGAAACAAAACAAACGTGTTTTTTAGACTATTTTTTTTCCAGTCACACTTTCACGACTCCACGTCCCACTTGTGGGTCCCGACCCCCCAGTTGAGAACCACTGGTGTAGACCTGCTCTATAAGTGAAGTGTTTTAGAAAACATTATGAATTGATGCTAAAGCCTACAAATAAAGATTGATTGATTGAATGACAAATATGATCAAAGGCTGTGCCGCTATAGGTCGGCTATCTTTCAAATAAGAAACGCCTTTGAGGGAATTAAATGTACGACAAATAGGCCAAAAATAACAATTAACTGAATACTGAAAACCCCAGATGCAGTATTTAATGAAGTTAATCAGTTTTTGAGTCGTTTATCAAATAGAAAATTGGTCTTTTAAGCCAATAGCCTATAAACTGGTACCTTCCACCAATGGAGTCCAAGCCAAATAAAGAGACAAGGAACTTTGTTGAAAGAAGTGTAGTTATTTGAAAGTAGGCCTATACTAAAGCCGTATAACACAGCTTATATCGTATCGTAATCATAATCGTGTTGATACGATGAACATGTTGCCTACATTACTGTCAAAGCTTAAAACCCCTTTCAGCCTTGTTGCCTAGAAACAGTAACCTGGGCTACTAGCTTTATAAACAACAAGAGGACGGACTTGCAAAACATATTACCTACTACCTGCATTGTTTATTGTTTATTATCTATTTATTAACACAAGGACAAATACAAACTCAACTGCTGCTAATGCACTTTTCTACCCACAAGATGGCGCCCAGGTCTGCAGTGTGTGTGTGTGTGTGTGTGTGTGTGTGTGTGTGTGTGTGTGTGTGTGTGTTTTGAAGCTCCCTCCCTCCATGTCGTAGTCTGACCTCTTTCCCGCGATGACAGTTTCCTGCAGGCTGTGTCAGACGGGACCTGGTCGTCCTCACAGCGGGATGTATTGGAGGGGAGACGGGGTTACCGGAGTTTACTTGGTGGACATGCAGAGGACCGGGCTGCTGCTGCTGGACTGAATTATAATTTAATTTCCAAGGACGAGCGGAAACAGGTGAGTGTGTGGGAAGAAGTTGTGTGTGTTGTTTTCTCGCTGGTGTTTGGTTTACGCAGTGCTGCTTGGTGGTTAAGCCCTTGCCCAGATACGTGTCACTTTGAGGAGAGAACGTCACGCCGGACTCCATTCAAAAAAATAGTAATTTAACAGTTACCGCGGTTTACGATACATTTCTTCACACCGTGACCAAAGATGAATGTTCATTTTAGATAGAGTTGCTCATCGTCTTTCATTCGGCGCTATAAAATAAAACAAAACGAAACACATTTCCGTAGATCACCTGCTCTCAAAACAGCTTCCCGCTTCCCGCTTGCCGTCGCCCTCCACGGCGGTGTGTTTTGGCCGCAGTGGATGGTGGGGAAAACGGACCAGGTAGTTTTTAAAAGTTAAAAACACAACTTAATAGTGGTTTTAATGTACACTGTATGCATGCCGAATTGAAAAATACTCCAAGTTTTAAGTAATTTTTAAAAATGTAATAGTCTTGCTGCTACCATATTACCCGAAAAATACAGTTGACAAAAAACGACGTTTAGTTAGAGGACATACGTGTGACGTCCTACAAGAGTGAGGACATTGGAATGACAGTTCTGCCTGCAGTCTGTGTACATAATACAGGCTGTGAAAACATCACGCAGACTTATCAGGTATCATTCCCATGCACTTCTGACAGATACAACATTAAAGAATATTTGGCCTTGTGATCTTTAGTTGACAACCAGCAACAAATCAGTAATTTACATGTGACCAACTTCTTACTGCATAGGCTACTTGAAAATGTTTATTATAGGGCCTCTGGAGTAGACCTATAATCATGCAATTATCTCTGGTATTCCTTTTGTTAAATTATTTGAGACAGTAAGGTATATAGGCCTACATCTTAAGATTTGTATAATGCTTTTTTTTCTTGAATATCTTCTTTTTTTTTTAAAGCTGGATAGTGTTTTGGTGTCTAGATGTTTTGCCCAGTTGGCTGTTGTTAAACTTATATTTTCCGTTTAAGAACCAATACAATTTATAAGAAATGCACAGCATCCCAATAGATCTTTTATATAAGATTCTTAAAAGTAAGCTTGCTGAATATTTGTCATGCTCCAGCTTGTTATGTCTTTTCCTTTAGCGCGTGGAGCTGAAAATCTTGCCGCCTGAGGCCCGCTCTTTGCAACAACTTTACTTTTTTCAGTGTATATTAAAACACTAACATTTGCTGTAAATCTTTCCCAAAAATGCATTTTTTTCCCCAGAGGAGAAATGAGTAACAGGATGGAGGGTTCGAAGGGACCAGGCAACAAGAACGGACCCATCGCAGCGCCCAGCAGCCCTGTGAGCTCCACCGTAGGCCCACCTCTGGCCCCAGAAGAGCTGGCGCAAGAGCAACAGTCGTCTCTGACAGATGTCACCCAAATGTGGATTAAATACGCAAAGACTTTTGCCATCATCCTACCGATCTACGTCCTGGGATATTTTGAGTTCAGCTTCAGCTGGGTTCTGATCGGACTCGCCATGTTGTTCTATTGGAGGAAGAACCACGGCACTAAGGACTACAGGATAAACCGTGCCTTAGCATTCCTGGACCATGAGGAGAAAGTTGTGAGGCAAAGTGTGCCTACTGCTGAGCTGCCACCATGGGTAAGTCCCTCCAACTTTCTGACAGTTCTTGTGCTATCAATATAAAGTAATCACTGCTTTGCACTCTGACTCCTTTGCAAGCTAAATCCTCCGGCCTACATTGAGTATTAGATGTCAAACATAGACTCCCTGCCTGCCTGCCAAACAAGCTTATAAAGATAACTGAGTTCACTCCCGTGGCCAAAATGTTACCGTTGTTTGTCTTCCCTCTGCTTCAAAACATTCATTTTCTATCCTACCTGTTTCCTCGAAGAAAAACAGACTGAACATCCAAGCTAACAACATTTTTGAGTTTTTCACAACATCCTGTCCGATTTAAAGAGTCCCATCTGTGACCTCTGATTCCCTTGTTTGGGTTTGTGGTGAAGATTTCCAAACATTTGCACTTGAGGTGTTGAAACATCATCGGAAACTTAAGCTGAAACTTAATACACAAGACATACAGCTCAATACTCACAATGTGGATACTGGGATAATGGATTGCATTGGTGGAAAAGGCTTTTTCAGGCAGTATACTTGACAACAAACAGAGAAAATGACCTTGTTTTTGGCAGTTAGATACTCCAAAGTGACCAGGAGTTGGAGACATCATCAGAGGTTCCCCAAAGAGTTTCCCTGTATTAAACTGACATTCTTCTGGAAGATGTTAATCATATGGTTTCGTTGGGTTATAACAAGAAGGACGATAGAACAAACCAGAGATAAAAAGTTCTCAAATTCCCATCCACAGCGAAAAACAAACTTTGTTGCTTGTTTAAATCAGTTCCCACTGTTATTAAAATTCCTGGAATCTAAGAATGCTATAAAAAATGGGGTTTCCAAACTGACTTTGAACACAACATTGTTTGGCTTTTCAAATAAGGACATGAGAAGGAAGCCACCAAATTAGTCTTTATTGGACTAAAGTTTTTCCCCTCTGGACCCCCCTCGCTGGCTATTTCCTCCTTCTGCATACTTCATTGTCTGGTTTAAGCCCCTGTAGACAGGCCAAATAGCATTACCGCTTTTTTCCAGCACATCTAAGTTGATGTAGTTACAAGACACCTTCATCTGAAGCTAGTCCATTGCCGTTGCAAAAACAGTCCTATCAAAAGTGCAACATTTTCTACAACGCCTGTCACACTGGAGTGATATCGTCACAATTCTTATATTTCTATTAAGCCCTGTCTTTTGCAAATACCCTAAAAAGTTATGGAAGTGTTTAGATATCATGGAAAAAGTACTGAAAAGTTTTGGAAATTCTTTGTTATAAAAAAGTGAAGACCTTGGGAATAATTAGGGTCTCGCAAACAGCCAATGAAAAGGTCACAAACTGGGCACCAGCTCCATTTAGCTTCCAGGATCGAATCTGTGCTTGTCTCTCTTTTTTTTTCCTCTCGATGGTTTCTCTCCAGCTAACCACCCGACGGAGTTGGAGACCTCCATGAATAATTTACACATGGCCTCTCAGCCCGCGGGGCTCTCGGGGCGAGCACTGCCAAAGTAGGAGCGTCTTGAAACCTGCCTGATTTTCACTTTCTGGATTCATCGTCTCGGTGTGCCTGTCTGTCAGTGTGCAGTCAGGTTTCCCTGTGCCACAATCAGAAACCAGTATGAAGAAGGAGGACTGGCCACACGCCTACAACATAGCTGTCATTCTCTCTCTGTCTACTCTTTCTCTGGTTTCCTACATGTCACAAGCTCATCCAGCCCAAATGACTAGTTGTGAGCATGCAAGGAATGGAGATTATATTTGGGTGTGTTCTCTTAAGATGTGAGCAAACCAGTAACATTCAGAAACTAACTCTGTGAAAGACGTTGTTTGGCACGTGCCGGCAGAGATTCACAAAAGCACATTCTTTTCCTGGAAGCTTTTTTTAAAGGAGGGTTATGGATGGAAATCTGTGGTTTAGTTATTCAGGGTTCCATTTATATTTTCAAAGCCTCATAAAACCCACAAACACGTCATATCTGGAAGGATACTTAATGGTTAAAACGACAAAGTACTACCCAAGACTTATTGTTTGTGATTGTACGCTAACCATATTAGAAAATATCACAGTTTAACAGGTTTCTCAGTTTATGAAATTTATACATTTATTATCAGTTTCAATGACCCTGCTAAGGAATGAAAACATGAGTGTTAGCGATAGAGCTAAACTAGGAAATATTTAGTTGTGATCCAATGAAAAATCAATACTAAAAAATGTACATTGTATGTTACCAATCAAGTTTTATACAGTTTACAATTGTTTAACAGTTTTCTCATAGCTTCAAGCAGGATCAAATTGTATCCTTTCTTTTCCATAGGAGTCCAGATGATAAGATACAAAAAGTAATAAAGCAGCAACTAAGTGCATTTGTGTATATTCAGGCCAAACAGGTATATTATTTTGAGACCAACAAAAAAACAAATTTAGAGCAAAATTAGTCAAAACTGACCGATGTTGTGAAAATAATGAATTTTATGGCTGGAATTAAAATAGACATTTTCAGTGTACTGCACAGGTCTTGCATCAAAACCACCATAAAATGGTTATCAGACGGCTGCTTTCTGGGACACATAACATAATTAGGAAAAATGAAACATTATTATGCGTGGTAGAGAAATTCTAGTGATCAGCAGGGTCTGCTAGGATGTGATGCTCCATGTGCTCCAGGAAGTGCTCAACATGTTGCAAACAAATTGGTTGGAAACTGGTTTAGAGGACTAAAGACTAATCCACAATTGATCGATTCATCCAGCCATCTTTTTATCTATTCATCAAATGGACCATCCATCCATCCGTAGACTAATCCACCAATCATCCATCTATCCATTATTCTATCTATCCACTATACCATCGACCCCTCTATCCATCCACCCAAAGACTAATCCACCAATCATTGATTCATCCATCCATTATACGATCCATCTATCCAGCCATCCACATACTAATCCACAATTGATCCATCCATCCATCCATCCATTTATCTTTTCATTAATTGGACCGTTCATCCATTGACTAATCCACCAATCATCGATTCCTCCATCCATTACACCATCCATCTATCTATCCACCCACAATAATAATAATCCATAAACCATAATCCACAACCAATCAATCCATCCATCCATTATTCCATCCATTCTTTATTCCCTCCATCCATATCATTTGAGTGTTTGCCTTTGAACCTCTGAATTTATTTCAGGCTAATTAAACATGTTCTTGTTATTATCTGAAGGTGTGTTCCCACAGCATGTGAAGTGTAGTCTTAAAAATATGTTTCTGAACATTCATGTTGTTTTAAATCATTAGCATAAAGCATCCAACCTCAGCCGTGTGCCATTAACACAGAGACTCAACACCTCTGAAATAAAGATTCATTATTTCTGCTGAGTGGAAGGCAGCTTGCCAGGCGGACTCATCGCCGAGCGTCCTCCCATCGCCGAGCGTCCTCCCATCGCCGAGCGTCCTCCCATCGCCGAGCGTCCTCCCATCGCCGAGCGTCCTCCTATCATCACATTATCAAACAGACCTTGAGAAACTCAGTGCTCAGCAGCAGTGCAGACAGCTTTGCAGTAAGCAGTGATGCGGCGGTGTGGAGCAGCTGTCCTGTTCTGAGTCAGCTTATCTTTTGTCTCCATGTTGTCTTTTTTCACCACGTGTGTGTGTGTGTGTGTGTGTGTGTGTCACCAATGTTTGAACCTACAACAGCGCCGCTAATGACGTTTGGATGTGTGAAGCAAACAGCAATGATTGACGACTCATTGTTTGTTTGATTAAAGGGAAACCAGTTGAAGGATGTGACGAGATAAATGTGTCTGCTTGATAACAAGCCAACAATCAGCGGTGAAGTTTGACCTCTTAAAGACACTCAGACGCTGACGGTCTGCCTCTGTTCTGCATGTAAGACACTCTATCTATGTCACCTCTGTCACACTGACCTCAAAACTCAGTGATTAGACGCATCATAGACCACCATTAGGACCCCTATTGTAAACCTTTTAAAACAGTGAAAGTCATTGAATAGTGAATAATGAATAACGTCTTGTGTCTGACCGAGAGTCGTAAACAGGAAACATCTAAATTGTTTCAGGTATGGTGGATTAGGGTAACGCGGGATATTTCCATATGAAGCCAGTAATAATATCAAAACAGGTGTGAGATGAATGAGTATTATTTTGCAAATTGACTGTAAATTGATAAACCAATCACATAGACCTAGAGTTACAACTATCAGTCGATGAATCAGTCACCGGTCATTGTCAACCGTTAATCTATTCACAAACTATTTTAATAACAGATGAATGAGTTTCAGTGTTTGTCAAAGGAAAACGTCAAAAATGGTGACATGGTGGTTTCCAGAGTTTGTTTTGTCTTCACTCCATGATAGGTCGACTCACCATCATTGGACGGTGGACACAATAACAGATTTAAAGTCTTCTTTTTGGGTTTTTTTTGGAAACACTGATTGAAAGCTTTAACCACGTCTTCCCACATATTGAATAGCTCAGACATGAATTGATTAAAAGAAGGAAGTACTCACCGTATTCACTAAACCTTGAAAATAATCCAAATGAATACAAACCTGTTTCAAACTGAAGCAGTCATAAAGTGTGTTTTTAAGATTTATTTTTGGGCTTTTTGGGCCTTTATTGTAGAGATAGGACAGTGGATAGAGAGAGAGAGAGAGAGAGAGTGGGGATTGACGTGCAGGAAAGGAGCCACAGGTGGGATTTGAACCCGCTTAGAAGAACAAGGCCTCCATACATGGGGCACGCGCACTAACGCACTAGCCTGCCTTATTTCAATGAATCCTGTCATGAAGTTAGTGCAAGGGATCAAATGTTTTCCTCTTCTTTTTTTAAATGTCTGACAATGCTGAATAACGCCCCGTGTTCGCCACGTTTTTTTTTCTGAGCGCCAGCATCTTTTTTTCAGTTGTTTTCAGTGTGGAGACAGGGTTTGCAGCAGCAGGCGGCCAGCGTCCTTTTTTTCTGAGCGCTCCACCTCTTTTGTGCGGCCGCTCCGAGCGCT